ATGGATGTGTGTGAAGTAAGGATGTTCATATCTAAGTATTATTTCTTAGAGGAACATAGATCAGTCATTTCTCCATATAAAAATCGATGGAAAAACAGATCGAGTGTTCAATTTGTCTGTTCTATTTCTACAAGACTTTCCCTGAAGGGTAGCTAACATAGACAGGCATATACGAGTTACTTTTTCTTTAAATTCCGCGCTGTTAAAATGGCGTAACGGGTGGTAAATTTGCGCTAACGAAATTTCGGGCGTCAGCTAGGAGAGAATAAATGAAAAATTTTATGGAGATATTTAAGAGACATATTTAGGTAAGGCCTAATCCGCAGTCCACGTCACAAGGTCGCACGGTAGCCGTGTGTACAAGCTTTAGAGAACATATCTGTTGATACAGTTTATTACGTCAATGTACATTGGTCCGGTTGCTATTTACTTTTGGATTAGAACCAGATACATGTCAGTATAATATCTTTCTAATATTTTGGCGGCTCGGCTGCACGCATAAGTCGTTGCTTATATGTAGTCGGGCGTAGTGAGTTACGAGACGAGAGTACTAAGCATTGCGAACCTCAAGTTGAGCCGCCTCTGAATGCGAAACGCTCTATAAATTGAATTTTAATTTGAATTATTTTATAGCTTTTGTACCGCCAACTGTGTCGTATAACTTTAGTGATCGAATCCTACATAAGGAAACAACCTCGCTGTATGTTTTATCAAACAAATGTAAACGAATAAGCAATACCCTTGTCTGTACATTATGCTCGCAACGTCAACGTTGTGAAATTAAAAAAAATTATAAAAAATATAGCCTATATTACTCACTGATAACGTAGCTTTTTAATAGTGAAAGAATTAAAAAATCGACTCAGTAATTTTTGAGTTTTTTCAATACATATAAAAAAACAAATCTTACCTCTTTATAATATTGGTATGGACGATATTGAAAAAATATGCAATTAACATCATCTAAATATTAGGTCGTTTTATTTGTGGAAGTATATGTGCATAAGAAAAATAGTTCAAATATCAGCTAACAGAGATGTATGGAAGAGTACATACTCTGCTGACACTAATACTGACTGTGGGATGGTGATCCTAAAGAAAATTCACCAAACAGTAATAATGTTACAAAAGTTATTTTATGCATTTCTATTTACATTTAGTTTTTTTTATTATTTCATACACTATTAAGAGTTCACTATATAAAATTGTAACGAACTTTTAAAAATACTTACTTGTATTTCGCTTTCCGTCGTTTTGTGCGGACAATTCTACCCACCCTACTCCCCGTAATAGGGTTAAGATACATTTTTAAATACTCAGTAATTAATCATAACATAAACAAATAATGCAACTAAAATTATAACAACTAAAGCATAAATAAAATAATCTAAATAAAAAATGCACCAAAAACATTTAACGTTGCCACTCGGTAAACCGTTTTCACATTTGAAACTGATTTTATACATGACAGAAACAATTTTTTTTAATTAAAAACTAAAAAAAAAGGTTAAAAGTCCTTTACTGTATACACTAATCTAATAAAATTTTAAAATTCACCAAAACACAATGATAATAATGTTATTTTTAGAATATTAATTAAAGACAGGAAACGTGGGCAGCCGGGTTACATCACAGATATAATGACCACTAACAAATCCCGCGCAGTTAACGCGCTCCGCACTAACAGTTCAAAACTCGTTAATTTAATTATAACTCACTGAAATAGCATTTTTTAACTTTTTAACAAACCATCAGCTAAAATAGACAACCCTAAAGTATTTTTGCGGTCCACGAAGTTTGAATACGATGAAAAAAAATAATATTTAAGGTTCAAACATGAATAAATGTTCACTGGGACGAGTATTTTAAAATACGGATAAAAGTTTGAGAACCTCTGAGTTAAAATAAACGCATATGCTTCTCAAACTATTTAGGAAATATACACGTAACTTTTAGGTTATGTAGAACAGTTCTACGAATATTACTTAAATAAATACATAATTTGTTTCCTTGTTCTATCAATTTACTGATAAATAGCCATTCCTTTGTTTATAACAAGGCAGTTATCCTAACGCACGGTAATGGCACATTTTAGCGCAAATCGCTTCGCATTACGCGAACACTCTCAAGGAACTACACGTTCATTGTCTCAGCTTATCTTTGGTAATAACAATCTTGTGGGAAGTTAATGATTTAAATGTGATGTACATAAATTAAGTGTAAAATAAAACACATCCGATAGAGAACGAGGTTTTATTTGCATTGCTTCGAGAATGTAGTGTTCCTTACGTAGTCCTGCCAAATTACATTTACAGGTAGAACTTCGATAAGTTAAAGTCCAAGGGAAACACAAAATATTTTAAGTTATAGAGGTCTTAAGTTATCAAGAGTCTATGTTGTAAAGGTTTTGTGGTTCTGATGGGAACGGAACATATTATTTTTTGAAGTTAGAGAGGTTTTTAAGTCACCGAGGTTTGAGTTATCGAGATCCTACTGTGTAAGTTAACTTTCGCATTTAAAAATACAGCTATTTTTTCAGGAATACTCATTTATTTAGAGTTCATTTTTTAGGGTCTGCATATGTTAAAAAAATGCGACCCTCCCGCAAGCACTAACTTTCAGATAAAAAAAGAATTATCAAAATCGGTCCACTAGCGACGAAGTTATGCCGTAACACACATAAAAAAACACAGACGAATTGAGTACCTCCTTCTTTTGGGAAGTCAATCAAAAAACAACTAAACTCTCATCTTTATACTTGCTACAGAATAGCGACAGGAATTCGATTGTCATATAGAGAATTTAAAGTATTTTAAATTTTCGCAAATAATAGCTTAATCCTCCAGTAATATTATATCCGTTAACTGAAGTTCATAAATTACTAACAATTTGATCCTGTTTCAGATATAAAGATAAACTGTGCTTCACGCTAGGCTGAAGCGAAACACAAGGCGCATTGTTTTATACTGACGTACCATTCATATGCATAACAAACATGTGCTTTTTGCACAAATAAATATTTTATATTATCTCTAAGTAAAGAAATAATTTTTGCTTGTTACAGTCTAACACAAACATTATGGAATAAGCATAAGCAATTCAACTCAATTTGATGATCTGCAGATTGGTCTGTTCAAATTGGTGAAACAGATAACTAAACCAGCTGTAAGATTTCTGTGAGTTACTCACCGATCAATTCACGGCTCTTCAGCTCCCTTGCTTATAGTAACGAGTTGAGCCGTAAGCTAATTTACTTGTTGAGCCGTAGCACTGTTCAACGCCATGTGAGCTGATATTTTGAACAGATTCAGAGATTTTCATGTCTATTGTTAATGCTTATTTCGAAAGAAAAACTGGCTCTTTTATGTCTTTTACAAGGGCAATTAATTAGATAAATTGGCTGTTTTTAATAATTACTGGATCGATTTATATACTTAATCATAATAAGCGGACGCACACCTTTGAATAAATTATTGCAAAACTGTTAAGCGATTGTCGATTGTTTCGTAGACAATTCAACTGTTTAGTTGCACAACTAAAAATCGAATAGTGTAACCTTCATACAAGCTCATAGGAATCAAAGCGAGATCAAACAGTTGTGCGATAGTTTAGTCAAAGATGTGCGTGCTCTAAGGTGTAAATTGACCATACGCTAATGTCAATTTAATATTCCACATCACGTCAATGTCAGATAACGTCCTACTTGCATACTGTTAGTTGACTGCACAATACTGCACTGCAAATGCACTGCCATGCATTGCTTAACACTGGTATTTTGTAATAGACCACACCAAGTATATTTATGCTGGGTTGCTGAAGCTTCTATTTATTTTATCCATACCTATTGGCAGATTAGGATTAGTTTGACGTAAGTTTAAGCAGAATATAACTCAAGTTACGTAGTTCGGAACCGCACTTCATGAAGGTATCAAACCGAGTACTAACGAATGGATAAATGTAGCTGGGAAACCGGAATGTAATATCTAATATTTTACTATGTTTTTATTTATATGTATTATACTAATATTATAAAGTGGAAAGATTTGTATTTTTGTATGTATTGAAGTAACTCAAAAACTACTGGGCCGATTTTAATAATTGTTTCACCGTTACAAAGGTAATTTATCAGTGAGTAACATAGGCATTATTAATTTTATAAATTCACGGGGACGTAGTCGCAAGCAACAGCTAGTTACTAATATCTTTTAACTTTCAAAGCGTGTAATGTTTATAATGTCAGATGCTGGGAATCGAACCTATCACCGTGTCATCGGTAACTCGTACTTAAACGAGGGGATAATGAATTGACTAATAAATATGAATAATTTAATAATTAGCCTATTACAGTCTGGCTGTATCTTCCCGTAGTTATCATTTTCCCATTGAGCCGGTCCACTAATCGATTTTACTATCACCAGCTCACTATATGTCCCCACCGAGGGGCTCGGAGCCTACCCTAAATTAGGGTGATTAGGCCATAGTCAACCACGCTGGCCAAGTGCGGGTTGGTCGACTTCACACACATCTTTGAATTTCTTCGCCG